GATGGTAGACATGATTTCTTGGATATCGGACGGGTGCGGCGCGGCAATGCAGTCATAAATTGTCGCATTGGTGACAATCTCGGGCTCCGGACGAGGGGCTTTCGGAGCGTCTCTCATCGGCAGCGGGATACCTAAAAGATAACATTAGTAAATTAGGGTGGATGTGGCCAAGGGGAAAGGACATGAGCTTACTGCTGGCAAAGCATGCCTGAAGCACGTTTAGGGCTCGTCGCATATCACCTTTGCTCAGGGTCACTAGACTGTCGACCGCATCGGGCTGTATCCTGACACCCTCGTTCTCAATCACTTTGTCGACCAAACTCCGAATATCGGCTTCCTTCAATGGACTGAACCGGAATCGAGTACACCGCGACAGGAGTGCCGGGGACAGCTTATGTGTGTAGTTGGCAATGACGCAGAATCGGGTATTGGCCGTGTAGCGCTCCATAATACGGCGGAGAGCCATTTGTGCGGTCGACGTCATCGCATCGGCTTCGTCCAGAATGATAAGCTTAAAACCTGCCAGAGGGGAGCCGGGAGTGCCTTGGGGGGCCATGGTGAAGATCTGTTTGGTGCCTGTTCGTATTCACGGTAAGCTTGTAGTTCATAACTCGAGACTCCTAAAGCACGAACTTGCAAAGGTCTTGATTTGTTCTCGGACAACTTCGATACCACGATCGTCACTTGCATTCAGCTCCAAAACCATCTGTCGCATGTTCTTAGTGCCGTAGATTCGCCGCGCCAGGGCCAGGATGGTAGAGGTCTTTCCGGTTCCTGGTGGTCCATAGAGGAGGAGATGAGGCAATCGCTGGACGAGAATGTTAATCAGAGGCTATCGTACATCCGGCATCATAGGCATTCGTTACATTTGTCTCCACGAACCGATTGATAGTCGCGAGGATGTCTTGATGGCCAGAGACATCATCCAGGCTGCTTGGTCGGTATTTCTCGACCCTGGGAAGGGTATTAGTGATATAACACAATCGAAACAATTCCTAAAACTCACCATGGCAAATTATCTTGAGCTTCGACTGGCAGATCAGCGACATTCCTCTTTTTTCCACTGGCGTTGTCGGAGCTAAATTGCACGTCCTTAGGCGCATCCACGTCCATTTCATCCTCGTAATCCGACATAGTGAATGTCTCTTGGGTAGAGATAAATAATCAATATCAACAGGTCTATCAAGAGCAGGTAAACCGTGAAAAGTGCCCAAATGGTTTGACGCGTGGAGCGCGTAAAGAGGCTCGGGGCGGAAAATCATGGAGCTTGGGAACTCCACAGATGACATCCCTCTGCCTAACCTCCAACGGGTCAACTTGTCCCCTCCGCGGTCTCTTTGATCGAACCTCCTACAGTTTAATTATTTGACGCTTTCAAAATGCCTGTATGTTCCCTACCTTCATATTTGTCCAAAGCCTGTTGTTAACCCTCAATGCAGGCATACCACTCCATCTTCCTGGAAGACCGCGATGTCCCCGTGATAGGTAGGAGACTCCTATCAAGTCTACACAGAGTTCCCGAGCTACAAATCGACATTTCAAGGACCAAATTGACCATCGAATGTCTCCTGACTAGGAAACTTCCCCATTCTTCCCCTCCGAACCCGTACTCGCGGCCCCGCATACACATTGCCCCCGCTTCCTAACACCGACGACCTCGATGTGTCGCCCGAAAGTGAATCATATGATTGCGTCGATGAGATCCTATCGCTCTTCCGTGCCAATGTCTTGTTCCGCAACTTCGAGATCAACGGCCCCGCAGACCGCATGCTCATTTACGGGACTCTGTTTATTAGCGACTGCCTCGGAAAGGTCAAGCCAACTATGACTGCCCGTGAGGCGGAGAAGGTAAATTTTGATACTATATATCAAAAGCCTGATATACCAGAACGATCATTGACAATCGTATTCCTAGGCCCTGACCAACGCCGCCCTCGACAGCTTTGCTATTCCCGGCGATGTGTCGTTCCCCCTTAACCAGGCCTTTGAGCCCCCGCGTGACCGCCAGGATGCCGAGACGCTTCGCCAGTGAGATCCTTGATGCTATACATTGCAACTCAATATCAGCTAACCGGTCCTTGCTTCCAGGTTTATCTCGCAGGTGCGACAGGAGATCGCCATCCGCCTACACGCTAGATTATACCCCGGTGGTGTCGGGCCATCAAAGGTAAGAGGAAGGAAAGAATAGACTCCTCGATATCTACCAAATACTGACCAACTCTAGTTCTGGCTGAGTTTCACGAAGAGAAAGTTCATGGGGAAGAGTCTCTAGACGACGAGCGTTGCTGTATATTGTTTGATGAAATTCAGCGCATGAATGAATTTGATACTTGATTCAAAATCACACCAAGCGCTTTGCGTACCTTCCAGAGGCTTGGGTGTGTCTACTTGCATATCTGGGAGTCAAAATTGCCCTCAGACTAGCCCTTACTCGATGTCCAAAGAAAGGGTAGCAGCTAGAGCAAGTCGGATCACACGAAAGATCAGAAGTAAGTTGTTGTAATTGTACATTAAAATGCTATTGGATCTATTTTGAGGGCGTTCATTCGTGAAACCTAGGACGTCATCTCCACATCTCGATCACTGATCGGGGTAGATGTCGTTTCCACCTTTCGTCTCTTACGAACATTGCCAGCAGCCTGGATATTCTGGGTGGTAGGGAACACGCGAACGCCATGGAAGAGATATCCCTCTGCGCCACCACGTCCAGTCATGAGGGGATGGGTCCGACCGGGCAGGACTTGCCAAGGGCGCACACGCGACGTTTGCAAGGTAGGTGGAAGAAGAATCGTCGGATCAACCACAAATTCTTCATGGAGTGAGGACAAATCAACGGCCTCTCCTTCGGGACTCTGCGACTCCAATTCTCGCTTTTTGTTGATAAATGCGGTCCTCCGAGCAGTGGAGTACATGTCTGTCAATTCAACCAGAGACTCGACTGTCGGAGAATACACGACAACAGGGGCAGACCCTGCAAGGAGCGGGACCATCGTCTTAAGGACGCTTGCTGGCTCTAGCAAGGTGGAGACGATCAGACCGTCAAAGTTACCGGCTCGGCCCTCGTCCACCACTGCTTTAACTCGCCCCCATCGGTTGCGCTTGTGGTAATACGCAGTACGCTTGCTTTGTTTAAGCTCCGCCAATTCCTCTGCAGGTATGATGGGTGGTTCGTTGGCGTAGAGCGGATCGGAATTGGGGTCAGCCAACTGCATCCAGGAAATTGATTTGAGGTGGGTGTGGAGTGGGTGGGATTCGTCAGGGTTATTGGTGTCATAGCCAAAGAATTTCAAGAGTGACAAGTTCGGTTGTGAGTATGGGTGGATAACGGTAATGGTGTTGGTAGTAGCGGACATTGGCTGGGGACGTATGCGCCGGGGCTTTGGGGGTTCATCGGTATGTTGAGATTCTGCGGCATTGTGGGCTGGAGGATCTTGCTCCTCGGTTGGGTCTTCGTCGGCATCGTGAGGATATAGAATTCCCATGCGCTCAGCCATCGCGGCAACGACAAGTCCGCCAGTCTCATCGACGATAGCATAACGTCCATGCGGCTTCATCCCCTCACCCACCTCAACGTTTCCGCTGTGATGTACATTACCCCAGCACCCGATGAGACCGATGTGTTCGTCCCGTAGCTCCATTGCCTTTTGCGCATCCCGTTCTTCGATCAGATAATTAGCGAGAAGGCCGACGTCCAGTGGGAGGACGGTAAACCGCTTCAGATACTTCTTGCGTTTCCGTAGCGTGTATTTGGCAAGAGAGAATGCGGTCTTCTGGTCTATTGCGCTGTGCGATTCCAAGAGCTTTGCGACAATGTCTTTCCCCGCGCCACCGGCCTCTCGCTTCAATTCTTCAATTTCCTGTAAAGTCAATTTTTGGGAAGAGTTTTCGTCATTGATTTGACGATTTGTTCGCATCGGTATCCCATTTTCGCCAGTATCCACGTCGTCCCCCTCCCCATCTCCCTCTCCGTCCGCGAGGAGGGTCTCCGCATGCAACTCGGTTGCTGACACGACCCGTAGTTGGTGGCCAGCATCGTCGCACGCATCGAGAATTTCAAAGGTAAAATAGAATGGGCGTCCAATAATCTGATTGGCGGTAAAGTTACCAAATCGACCCAAATTGACGACTCTGGTCTAATGTTAGTTCTTGCGATGGAATCTTTCCCCGCATAGAGCAGAAAGTACTTACGTATCGGGGATAATCTGGATGAGTCTTAACTGATCCGACTGGAGCCGGATAGCCACAAACTGGCCCGGGCGAATATAGGAATGCATGATGGCGATGGAACAGCTGTGCCTCGAGCTCTTCCACAAAATTGTTCTGGGGACTTTTATGGCCGATAGAATGACAGCCAATCAGAGGACGAGAATACTCTAGCCGGGTGGATAGATAGTCCGGGACATTCATGCCTGAAATTTATGCCTGAAATTTATGCCTTAATTTACTGGCTTCATACCCATTTCGTCATCAGTTTCCAACATACTGGCCCGTACCGTACTAGCACCGCCACTCCACCCGTTGCCACTCTTGCATGTGAATAATACGGTAAATACGCATACTGGCGTAGCTTCCCCAAAGTCAACCAGCGATCGCTGGTGGATCTGCGGAATCCCGGTGCCTTGCGAGGAGAGAGAGACCTCTGAGATCATCCACCTCCGTCATTGCCTTGTTCAACATAGCTTTCTCTTCATTTAGGGCATGATATTTCCGAGCACACGCTAAAGGCTAGGCTGTTGCCCATCACTTGCGTATCCGCGTAGACGGGCACTTCAGCCCCTGCCGTCCCAGCGCAAGGCGTTTTTCCTATACTAATGGCTTATTGTTATTATTCTGAGCTTACGTCCTGAATCAACTCTCAAATCGAACTACAGACTCTTTCTGAGTGTGTTCTGAGTGTGTGTCGATCGACGTTGAGTGCTTTATTAGCCTTCCCATTCCTAGAACTATACGCGAACTCAACTCTTCCCTCTCCGCTTCCCACAAGGTCAACGGAGGTCTTCATGGGCCTGCGAAAACAGCCCCCACCGCGTCTGGAGAACATTAGCAAGTCAAATGTTCGATCGGACGCACGCTCATCCAAGTCACCCAACTCTGCTTCCTTCCATCACCCGACTCGTTTAAACCGATTTCCTTCTGGGGACCCCATCTACTCTCCCGACCTCAATACTTCACCTGCGTTTGACCTGATGCCACTTGAGGAAGCACAGCGGTCGCCTGTGGGGTCTCCCACCAGCCAACCCCCGAGCTCATGGCCAGACAATAACGGAAGACCGGAAGACGGCCGCTCCGGTCAGTATAATCAGTATGAGGGAGCATACAACGAACCTGCAAATACCAACGGACACTGGGTTCCCCCGACATTGATGGCAGGTCAACAACTAGGAGCGGCCGAGAATGTGTGGCGGTCAACGACTGACGGCGGTCGTGCTTCGACTGGAGAGCTACCGGTACAGCTGCAGTCGAATAACCCATTCTTGAAGCCTAGGCCGGCAGAGCATACTCAAGATCTCTTGGATCGCAATGAGTGGGGACGTGATTCACATGCGACTTCAAACAGTGAGGCATTGAGCCAATGTATGGCATTAGTTCCTTCTGAAAGTTCCCTCAAATTGATATTTGTTGCTAACAACTTGTAGCCGAGGGGTATATTCCGATGACTGCGCGGCTCTCTCTTTTAGATGAGCCCGAACAAGAATCCCCATGGACCGAGGCTCCTCGTCCTCAATCCAATTCCCAGCAACGCCCTGTATTAGGCGGTCACCACCTCGATGATAACTCACCGTGGGACTCTCAACAGTCCGCCAAGGTTCCGGTTCCCCAAGGTGTCTACCTACAAGGAGAGCAGTCTAATCCATATGCCCCAGCGGTTGCGGTGCAGCCGTCTGGCCTTTCTGATTGGGAAACCTATGCCGGCCAACAATATAAGCCTCCATCCAATTCAGGGAGGCTTGGATCGGATGCTGGAATCAATACTCCATCTGTTGCTCTTTCTAATCGAACCTCTGCTACCTCTCATGAACTAATTGATTTTGGTGGATTGAGCGCCACTGGGAATTCGGTGGGCGAGACAAGGTCTCCTGCTGCATCTACGGCGTACTCAGAACCTGCCGCGAACGGAGCAAGATCATTATCAGAAAAGCAAGACCTCGCAGCTCCCGTGATACAACAACCACAACAACCCCAAGTAAGCCCTATACTGTCTCCCGCAGAAGCTGCACGACAAAAAGAGCAAAGATCAGAAACATATACTATTCGACACATCCGATGGACCGATCAGAGTGGTCAACTGCTGGAGTCCCCGATTTTGGTCCAAAATCAAAACGGACCTTGTCCTCTGCTAGCCCTTATAAATGCATTAGTGCTGCGAGCGAACCCCAACGCTCACCCACCAATCGTTAGAGCTCTGTCAACTCGCGAGCAAATCTCTCTAGGTTTGCTAATCGAGGCGATGTTTGAAGAGCTGACAACATGCCTGGGCCCTGATGAGGAGTTCCCAGACATCGAGGCCCTCACTCAATTCCTGACAATGCTGCACACGGGTATGAATGTCAATCCACGTTTGACAATGGTGAGTACATGCGATGTATCTGTCAAAGATCACTTATACTAACCTAATGTTAGAATTCTACTGAAGGATTTGGCACTTTCCTCGAAACCAGCGACCTCGGACTGTATAGCACGTTCGGTATACCATTGATCCATGGCTGGCTAGCCTCATGGTCCAGTCCTACCCATGCTGCGATGTCACGCACTGCCCAGTATTACGAGGATATTCAAATGCTTCCCTTCCGCAAACACGAGTTTGAGGAACGGGTGGCGCGGGGCGAGGCACTTGAACCTGCGGAAGAGAATATCATGGCGGATATCCAAACCATCCAGCGATTTGTGGAAATTGAGAATGCGACACAATTGAGCCCATTTGGCCTGACACAGCTCTCGACTAAGCTTACGCCCGGATCTGTCTCCATTCTTTTCCGCAACGACCATTTCTCGACATTGTATAAACACCCGCAATCCCACCAACTCTACACTTTGGTTACCGATGCTGGCTATGCGGGCCATGCCGAGGTGGTTTGGGAATCTCTAGTCGATGTGACAGGATTCAACACAGAATATTACTCAGGCGATTTTCGACCTGTAGGCGCTGGTCCTTCAGCCCCATCTGGCCCTGATCCCGCGGTCCTCCAAGCCTCTAATGAGCCAGCCACTCATTCTCCAGAGGCAAACGAAGGATCGAAATCCCCTGAGCTGACTCAAGAACAGAGTGATGCCGACTATGCATACGCGCTGTCACTTCAGTTCCAAGAAGAAGAGCGACGCGAAAATGCTAGGAATGAGCAGGCTCGTGATCGTCGCACATCTGCACCGAGTAATTCTTCCAATCGGCCATTGCCTTCGCCTCGCTTGAGCAATGTGCCTAATCGACCATTACCCTCGCCTCGTTTGAGCAATGTACCCAATCGATCTTCGAGCATTGCCAATACGATTGGTTCTCGGCCTAGTCCTCAGCCACAACATGGGCCCGACCCTGAGGACCCAAATGCACCCCCTCCTCCATATGAACAAGCTGCTGCTAGCGGGCCGCGTTGTTCGCCTCCTGACATAAGGCCATATGGCGGTGCCGCAGGAAATCAGTACCCTGGTAACCGGAATTCGCGGAATCGAACCTCGCAGTCTTCTCACCGACCACGCCCGCCTGTACGTGCAGGGGATCACAATATAGAAACAGAACGGAACAAAGAATGCATAGTGATGTGACCAATGTAAGATCTGGAAATGATAAGAGGCGTTGATACTTTCTTGACGCCAATGCACGGGATGGGATGAATATGATACCTACAAATGATATATACTATTGTAGAGAAAGAACATGTCTTTGATTGATTTGATTCCATATGAAACATTAATTTCTTGCTCCTCATTGTCCTCATTCTCCACGGCGTTATGGAAACCAACACGGACCTTCTCCGTGCCTCTAACAGGAGCGGGGCTAATAAGCACATTTCAACAAAGTGACATGTGAGATAGCTGCGTATGTTCGGACTTGTCACGGACTACACCTATGCCCGGAGGTTAAGTAAATTAATGGACTCACATGAGGAAGAGGTTTCTCATTGGAGGAGTCATTATCCAGATAGCCCTTGATCTTCCCCCGGGAAAGACTAAAAGTGTGTATAAGCGATGTATTGCGATATATGCCGACCATATTGCCCTATAGCCTAAGTCAAAGGCGTTTTAGGACGCTCTCATGTCCTGAAGGATACAACCCCGGTCTACCGGCCCGTTGACTAGGATCAGGGCATACGTAGTATAAAGAATGCTGCTATGATAAAATTGGCCTATAATTATCCTTCACGGTGCTGATTTCCTTGCGAGCCACCAGGATCTGTATATTTCCTCTAACAGTAGCTCTTGCGATGCACATTCTTCTTTCTAGTGCTCTAGCCCTCGTTGGGATGGCCCAGGCCACTACTGTTTGCACTGGAACATTTAGCACAATCTCAGCTGCCGAGTTTGTGTCTAACCTGCATCCCGGTTGGAATCTGGGAAATACTCTTGATGCTGTCCCCGATGAGGGATCTTGGAATAATATGCCAGTTGTGGGGTCGACATTTGATACCGTAAAGGATGCCGGCTTTAGGAGTGTCCGACTGCCAGTTACCTGGGCTTATCATTTCACCGGAGGCTCACCTGATTGGACTGTTGACCCAGCATGGTTACAGCGAGTCTCTGATGTGGTTGATATGATTGTGGCTCGTGGACTCTACCGCCATCGTTGATGTGCATCTTGGTATGATATATGCTCTTGTATCGGAGAATGGCCTTTGCTGACACAAAACAGATTCATGGGTTTGGGCTGATGTTACCCAGTCCGGAGCCAATCTAACTATGAATGAAGAAAAATTCTACAGTCTCTGGTATCAAATTGGAACGAAGTTGGCCTGCAAATCCAACCTAGTTGCCTTTGAGCCTATCAATGAGCCTCCTTGCAATACTGCGGTCAACGGTACCGAGGTCAACAAACTGAACAACATCTTCCTCCAGGCTATCAATGATTCTGGTGGGTTCAACTCGCAAAGAATTGTTACTCTAGTCGGAGGTGGTGAGGATAGCATCAAGACTGCAGACTGGTTTGTAGCACCCTCTGGATTTTCGAATCCATATGCTATTCAGTTCCACTACTACAGTCCCTGTGAGTCATAGATCAGTTTATACCCTAGGTATAATGCGTTGTGGGTTGAACTGACTGAGTGGGCTTCTAGACGACTTTATATTCAGCGCTTGGTAAGAGTATAGACCCGGTTTTTTTTCATTATGTACTGATTCCAAACAGGGGAAAGACCATTTGGGGCTCTGACAGTGACAAAACTACTGTGCAGTCTGACTTCCAGCTGCTGCGCAACGCTTTCCCTGATGTACCTCTCCTTTTGGGTGAATACGATGCTTCACCCACCAACACCGAACCCGCTGCCCGATGGAAGTACGTTGACTTCTTGATCAAGACTGCGGCCAGTCTCGATATCTCCTGCGTGCTGTGGGATAACGGATTGGACCACTTGGATCGAACCGTTGGAGTCTGGCGTGACTCTAACTCACTCTCGATCATTACAAAATCAACCGAGTCTACTGCCAATAGTTTACCAGATAGTACCGAGGACGCTTCTGCAACCACACAGTCATCATCAGCTTATATTTTCCATCAGTATGGAACAGTTGTGACAGCACAAACTCTTCCATTTATCTTCAACGGTAACACCCTCTCGTCAATCAGTGACTCCACTGGCTCGACATTGTCGTTGGGAACAGACTATTCTGTTTCAGGTGCAAATACAATATTCACAGCTTCGTACTTATCCAAGCATCTTTCATCTACGACAACACCGGGTATTATTGCCACTCTAACTCTGAGATTCTCGGGGGCGACTCGTCCCCTGTTGTCCAAATTGTTCAATGGAAAGCCCCAACTCTGTCGTCCACATCGGCGGTGGCTTCGTCTGTCTCTGGCTCTGACCTATCAATTCCAATCACTCGGGGCGGACTATCAACCGTCGCTGCAGTAAAGGCCTTGACCAAGAGTGGAACATACCTGGTCGATGACTGGACGGTATCACTGGGCCCTATCCAGCAAGCGAGAGTTGTAAGCCGAGCCCTATTTCTTTTTGTGTACCATTTACTAATACTAATATATCGATCTAGACCTACAGCAACCAGTATAACTGGGATGACTCCAATGTAATCCTCACTTCATCTGCTATTGGCTCTGTCATCTCTGCTGGCCAATCGACCGTGTTCACCTTCGAGTTTTTCCCACGGGATAATGGTGCTGTGAATGCTGTCAACTTTACCTTGACTGTTTGATAGAATTTATACCTCGATCATGATAGTTGTACTGAAGAAATAGTTCAACTATATTATAAGTATTATCAGGCTTTGCTTAGCAGCCTGGGTATCGAATATCAGCATTTATGTACAAAAAAAGGTAAACCATCGCTGTCATCAAGTCATTAAATTCCATGGCAGATAGCCAAGATCAATACAAGATTTTTAATTCCCGTAAAGGAAGATGAGGGTCATATTTGTCCCACACGATCTTGTTCTTCTCATTCAGGTGTGCGCCCTCATCCGTGATGCTGATTGCTGGATCTGTCTCCAGAACCTCATGGTTACTGAAACCCCACTTATCGCGTGGGATCCACAGAGTTGGTGGTGGCGATGCTACACATGGCTCGAAATATGCTGTACGCATCTCTTCGGGTGTGTAGGAAACCCCCTCAACATTGCGGCGAATCTTTTGACGCAATGCCGCGTAATCTTTGTATACATTTGGATGGAACCATTTCCAGAAGGCCATAGCGCGTGGGCGGCGCTCTTCGTTGATCGCTGCCACTTCGTCTTCTTTCTCTTGGAGCATTTCCTCTTCTGCGTCAAGGGATCGTGGTAAGAAACTATTCAGTGGGGCGAGTGCATCGTTGAGCGACATGTGTGCCAGGATGTTGCCGACCATGAATAGAGCCATGATTATGACTGGGCCAATAGCGCCCTTAATTGCGCAGAGTCCAATCAAGCAAATCTCAGCCAGGTAGAGACCTGTTAATAAATGTTGCAGGGCTCGTGGGTAGACTAGTCCCTTGGTGTCGACTTGGATGTCATATACGAAGAGGAAATTGTATCGGTAGGCTTGGTATACAAGATAAAGCCCGAGGAAGGCAAATCCCAGAATCAGAGGTGCGATGCATGAATAGGTCAATGCTAAAAAGTCGAGTTAGTTCATCTTCGTTAAAGAATGAGTCCTGGTATAGGGTATTACTTACCAATTACAGCCATGTTGGTGAAGATGGGGAAGACATTGCCCCAGCTGATGCTAGCAAGTTCGACCCATCCTTGAAACAGACGACGTGGGGAGTAGGCAAAGAATGTGGTGACAAATTTGAACACCAAGGCGCTGACAATTTGAACAAGGGCCAGGGAACTCATGCTCAATCCTTGCAGCATGAAGTAAGAAATGTAGAAATTGGTCGCCTTGGGTAAGTTCTGCGCCAGCAGATCCTTGACCGAGAGAGGATCCTTGACAATCTGTGCGGTAGCTGCCGACGCAGCCGATGTCAAGGTCGTGACCAAGAACACTTGTACCACTTGAAATACAAAGTGAGCGCTTTGTGTGAACAGCTCAACTCGTGCCCTTGATGGGACTCCGGCTCGTCTAGCGCATACTAGGTAGAAGTCAGCAGGAATTCAAGCAACAAGCAGAATCTGGAGAGCGTACTACGACAAATGATTGGCACTAGTGACATCAACGCCGCTAGCGATGCGGCAGGCAGAAGACCCTCAATTGCTCCTTTTATGAAATCAGGCAAGTCAAGAATGAAGCTGAGGAAGGGAATGATCCTGCAGATGTATGTGATGTTCGAAATTGCACCGACGAGTGCCGCAGGAAATGACCAAAAGATGACCATCGCTGCCAGGAATCCCTGGACTGCGAATCTCCTCACGATTCTTTGCCACCAGCTCAGATTCAGTGCCGACCATACAACTTCGCGAGGTGAGATTCCAATAAAGCGAGGCGTCATGTGAAATGGCTGGTGATGCGACAGGGTTTGTAGCGCGACTTGTGCATCGGCCTGGCTGTTGAATTCGACAAAGATTGCACTGAGCTGTTTTGCTTCACCATTTTGGTGTTTTGCTTGCAGGTTTGCTACTTCTTCGGTTTTCTTTGCCAGCTGAGCCCGATACCAGTGAATAGAGTCGACCTTTTCACCAAAAAACTTCGGTCGATGCATCGGACGTTTGACCTTGTGAGACCATGCCGGGTTGCTTGACTCGCAGTCCAGGCACATGTCAATATTCAATTCGCCTATTTTGATTGCTTGGGTTCGGATTTTATTCGCTCGCCGAATGAGCTTGGTCTCTGCGGTTTCCAACTTCTCGGCTAGTCGATCTCGTTCACTAACCATCTTCTTCAATTTTGAGCAGTCGGAGGTGATCCAGGTTCGGCGGATAGAGTCACCAAATACTTGTCGTAGTTTATTTTGGTTCTTGTAAGCGTCCGGAACTGACATGAAGAGGACTGTACGGGACGACATTCGAGATGCGTAGGCAGGCGAGTTGAGGTAGGCCTGGCGGAGGTTTGCATAATACAGACTTTCTCTAACCACGACATAAAACACGAAGGCTATATATACTTGTCAGTCCAGCTGTGTTGCGAGTGAAGATACGGACAACTGACTGAAGTAAACACATGCCACTATAACATTGGCATAGTATCTGCTGGGGTTCTTGACGTTACTGAAACTCAGGATGTCGAGCTCGGTATTGCCGTTGCCCCCAGTAGCATGAAGAGGCAGGAGAATCGGCCATGTAATCACACAGCCTGTCAGACATGTCGCAGCCAAGACGCGCAAAAATCGCAGGAAAAGATAACCGTCTAGCGATGAGTGGTGGAGCACATGATTATCTTCAATTTTTAAAAATGTCCCGAGCCAGTTAACCCAGCCAGAAGGCAACTCGGGACTCCGTTGATGCTCGTGTATATCTGGTAAGTAGGATCTCGGAGCGTACCAGCGACGCTGAGTTCGACGAAAGATCAGAAATAGGCTGACCCAAAACATAGCGTATACAAGTGCAGGCAATAGAGTCATCATCAGCGCCGAGCCCGATGAGCCCCCTTCGCCGGTGAGACTGCTGGCGATATCACCGGAGGTGGTGGACGCGTTGCCTCGCGACGATCCAATATTTGTGTCATTATCCTAGATCACATTAGCACGGATTTCAGTATATGGGGTTTAGATGGGAGGTATACCGTTATACTTGACATGGTGAGTATCGTCTCCGAGTTGAGAAACAAAGAGATGTACAAGCCAAGGAAATAATGACAGGAAAGAGGGGGCTATATGGAGTTTGAAGTAAATTCCCCGTCAAAAAGAAGCAAAGAGAAAAAGCAATGCTCTTTGCATGGTCCCCGCTTGCGACCTGTCATCCACACCGATCCACAATGGATATAGACAAATGGGTGAGATTCGTGAAATTCGTGCATGTAAGAGCTGATAGGTCAGCCCTGGAGATTTGATCCCAAAGCCGAGGTGTCGTCGATCCGATAGTGTGTGGGTCTTTTTTGCCTTGGCGAAGATGTGAAGTATGCTCTATGTATATGTCAGATGGAATTCCAGGAAATATCAAACTCGTGAGAGATCTAGCATTTACATACCTTTCGTTTGTGCAGAAGAAAAAAAAAACAAAAGACGGAAAAGTAACGAGAGGAACGAAATCCCAGCCGATGCGGGTCTTCCAATCAAAAACTATTCGGCCGATCCGCGCTGATCGAGAAAAAAACCCCTGAATGAGATGAGAACTTTGAAGATTTGGAGTTCATGCAGGTTGTGGACCAATAAACCTATTGATCTTATGAAGCGTAGTATATGGACCATTCTACCCTCCCAAGACTTCGCTTGGAGAGACTTTTCGGCTCCCCTCTTTTTCCCCTCAATGGGCTTGAGCAATGCAAGGGGCCCTTCTGGCGGTGGAGGCTGGACGCATGGGATTACAGCACATGGGGAATGTTGAGTCTGGATCCCTGTGAAGTGTCGAAAGATGCATCATGCAGAGAAACCGGTATACTCACGTGGGGTGGTTCGAGATTATCGGCTATGAATCCCACTAGAAATGGCTTCTAGATAGATGGTGATGGTAGACAGTCGAAAGAGGCTTCGATTATACGTATTACTTGTATCACTTATATCAAGGTAATGTACCTAGACCGTACTTCGTATATGTACCTCGACTGCAGACTGTAGTACAACACAGAGGAGAAACGTGCAGGTCTTGGCATATGCACATAGGGATCACTCAACATTCTCAGTCCTTTCCAGTCTTCCTTTTTCAGAGCCCTTACTTGATCTAAAATCTATAGCCAACCTTGAAAAGGTTACACTACATTCGGGGTCCATCTAAGCCTGGACACAAAATATATATCCAAATATCCGGATGGTCAAGCGGGAACATATATGGAGATGCATCATGCGCAAGTTCCGATGGGGGAAATGGGTGACGCATGGGATGTTGCCAATATGACGCTTTCCTGGTTAGTGACGAGGCGTAATATATCACTAGCCAGGAACTCATCGTGGACGAGAGCATGATTCGAAATACTGGAAATAGAACCTTCCTGATAAATTGCGCAGAGATGTTGAAGAATCGGAACAATTATATGTCTATGTACAACATCCTCAAACTAAAACTTCAGCTCCTAGGTTCACGATTCTCCTTGGAGACAGGCAGGAATTTTGTGTGTGAACCCTTCGAAACCAACGGGCCCACTTCATCGTCGACGACTCGAGATATTTTGACGGTCGTGAAGGCCATTGACTTCCCCACCCGATCAGCAACGGCAGAAATATCCAGAGTATCTCCAACGGTAGCCGTTGACAAATATGAAACGTGGATATCAATGCTTGCGCCTGTTCTCTCATATCCATGTGTGGCTATCGCCATGCCCCCGGCCCAATCGATGATGGTCGCAGAGACAGCCCCGTGAATGGTGCCCCTGGAATTGACATGTTCCGCTGTGAGTTTAAGTCGAGCCTGCACCTGGCCGCGGATGGCACTGATGATATCGACATCGGGTAGAAGAAGACGGTAGATAGGACTGTCATTTTTGGTCCGCTCCCAAATCCCGCGCACATGCTCTAATTCGGTGCCATTCATCGTGTGTGAGTACGGAAATCAAGTTGGGAGGATGAGGATATGGCCAAGAACACAGGGCTGACGAATGTGTAGACTTTTGAAGTCTGAAGTCAGAGTCGGAGGGGCCGAGAGCGGAATGGGCCGCCTTTGCACGGAACATACCGACCATATTCTTCTGGAAA